GACTTATCAATTCCCGATAATACNGGCGATACTGGGTCTGAAATGAATTAAGACCAACATGAATCTGCATCCCCTCCTCGTTTTTTAAATCGTTTTATTGAGTAGTCGCCCACCATTCACGCGTGTTGACAAGTTCTACCGGCTGATGTTTGCACTTGAAAATAAACTTTTGGGAGTCAGGAGCCAGACCCAACAATTAGCATTGACTCCTGGAGACAAAAACTCCCTTATCCTTACAAAAAACGGACTTAGTGGCTTGTTTACCAGCGGATAAAACCACTGTTTGATCTTATCACAGCAAATGGGTAATCACTTCACCGGGTGGGTAAGGAGATGTATAAGAGGTACAAGCATATCGGTGCAGAAGCGATCTCTATGAAACCCTTTTTTAGCTAGGCATAAGCCTTGGAAGTTGTTAAAAGCTGAAAAAGTTACGTGGATGAACATGAAGAGGTATTCCATGTTCCAAAGAAAGAACAAGTGATAACCACACCCTCATTCACGCTTTGGTCCTATAAAACTGTCATTCCATTTGTAAAAACACCTTCCTAGACATTAGGCTACAAAATTGGATTGTCTTGTGCTGAGATTCAAAATTAAAAACTTCCCAAGCTTTGTCATTCCTTTGACTAAGTCTACCGATCAAAGAATTGACAATGCACTTACTTTTCAATCTCCTCCTGACAACGAAGAGTTCCATGCTTTGCCGGATGTAGAATCCGTGAGGTAGCACTCCCAAAGTCGCAGAGGACAACATTCCTTCGACTGTCAATGAGTAGGTTTTCAATCTAAGGATGGGAGGAGCAGCAGATAGTTTTTGGAGGGTCGAGAGCTCTTTAACTGGTCATGGTAGACGATTGAATATAAATAGGTAATTTGAAGCGTACATCCTCCATCCCACATCCAGGGAGAATTCAAAACCTGAATCAGTAACAGCAGCTAGAAGCCTACTCCAAAAAGGTCGACAATTCCGATTTCACAGGCTAACACTGTCAGAAAGGGAAAAATTGACACCTGCTGTAGATGGTCGAATCCACGGAAATCCACCACAGAAGAGGTCTCGGAACCTGATCCAACTTTGGCAACAATCTTAATTTCGAGTTCTACATAATAACTACAATGAACCAGTCGAAACCATTCATAATTCAGTATGTCCCTATATTTACTATCCCGAGTAATGGAGGAGAAAGTGTGCATGGGTTTCAAGCCACCCACCTTGAGATCTCGATGAATGATAGGAGTTTCGCAGTGATGCAGTCGGGAGATGGCTTCGCAGACATCGGTAAGGATCCGAAGAACCTCCACCTCCAGAAATCGGAGACCCTTCTGCTGACGCTCTGCCAGAACTTGGGATACAGTAGCTAGAAAAAAAAAAGATGAAATGAGTAAAAAGGGTGGGAAAATATCAATTCTGTCCATTTAGGCATGGTGGCAGCTTGTAGTCATCAGGGGTGGTTAGCATTAGTAAATTCTGGGAATTTAGTACTAAAAGTCATTAGAGACTGCATATATTACCTTCTAAAGGGTTTACGCTGCCCACCTTTATCCCAAAATTGTCACAGTTTACGACCCTTTCCTGGCGATTATTAAGACTCCATGGAATGCGGGAAGTCCTGGCTCCTTCAGATAACCCAGCAATGGAGGACATCAGAATTTGCATCGATTGAACAATAATCCTATCCCTCTCCATTCTTGATGCTTTAAAGGTAAACACTTCTTCATAAAAAAAGACTTCGCTCCACTACATGTTGGTAGGCCTCAACTGTTTTGACAAGCTGCTAGCGTGTGAACTTAGAGGCTGACCTTAATTCCATCCGTTTTGATGAGACCTTGTAAAATAATAGCGATATTTACTTCCAATTAAAAGAAGATAGACGTAGTATCAGACGAGGAAACCATTTTCGTCCAATTTTCGGTAAAGCTAGTCAAAACAATTTGCAGTGGTTAGGGATTGCTTATTTCCATGCATGATGAAGCATAAAGATGCCTCAGTCTATAGGCGCCCTTTATTGCGCTTGTTATCACTTTCTTCTTCTTCACTCCACGGAATGTCGGGTGCAAGTCGGTCTTGTTTGGTTCGCAAACCGAGTCTGGTAAGGAGGAGGGGGTGCGGTCAACGGCACAGCAAACCAGCACACAGCCACGAAATGACTGAAACAACTTGATTGTAGTGATGGATCACTCAAAGGTAGATGCACAACGTTAGAGAGGGAAAGCCTCCATCCTACGGCGTGAAGAGGAATCAGACAGGATAAGTGGGATTGTTTACAGTAAGTCGGCATCCAAATGTCGAAAACATTCACTGCAGAGGGAAAATGGTGGGATTATCAAACATTGATTCCGTTGGGAAGGTATTACTTATGGATAGTAATGTGGTTTACTTCAGCAAGGAATACCTTCTAAGAAAATTGCTCCAATTATCTGATGTGCTTTATAAAAACCGCCGGAACTCACTTATTTACATTGAAGACTGGAGCATTCCTAATAGTAGCCCTCGACAGCTAACTCAGCTCTAAGAAAGGCAAGCTTTTGAAAGCTCTTTATATCACCGACAAACACTAGTTGCCAAATTGACATTCAACATGCTGAAATGAGAATTCAGGTGGCATTTACAGTATCAATAGAGCCGAGGTAGTGGGAAAAACAAACAGAACTGTGTGCAGCGGACGGATGGTAGAGCATGGAGATGAAGGTGAGGAAGTGTCCACCCCACGTGACAAGAGTGCGCGCCTTCAGACTGAAATCCGGTCCTACAGAATTCGGATACGTTCAAGGACTTACCAAGCAGACGGCTGATTAATCACTCGCATTCAGTTTACAGGTTATAATCATCCATCCTTGGAAAGCATTTAGTGACCTCTTGAATGTGTTATTCAGGAGCAATTCCAAAGCGACCATCATTTGACGACGCAAACTCAGGACGAAAATCCTTCGTAAATCAACCGAAGTAGTTATAGTGAATCCCTAAAGGACTAAGTTTAGGCACTCTTCTTCACGCTAACCAGTAAGGCCTACAATCTCTGCGTTCAGGGAACACTCAGCAAGAACTGAGTCAAAATATCGGACAGACGCCTTAAGACAGCCCCATCGAAGTTATTCCGGTGTATGGGTACGTATAATGAAAAATGGATGACAGAGAGCACTCCAAGGTGATTGAACAGTTTTGGTGGCATCCCGCCTCTCTGTTCATTTATTTGCTTACTCATGCCAGTGGTAATGTGTCCAGGAAGGATTCCTTTTAGGAAAATGGCCATAAAGTTTGACCTCAAAATATAAAACGACTGCCATTCGGCAAAGCATTGAATCAGCAGGGTACTGGGTCACAGGAATATTCAAATCAAAAGCAGAGAAATCAAAGAGTATCTCATTTAAAATCAGTATTTGGTTCATTTACACTATTCCAACTGCATCTGGATAAATAACTCACCTCCCAGTTAAACAAATGGGTTTCAAGTAGTGCAATCATTGCCGCTGGAAGAGTAAATCAGGAAGTACTGATTCAGTAACCGGAAACGAAACGAAAAAAATGCTACAGAGACGGCGAGAAGATATTAATTAGGCTAAACCAGAAAAACAGATATGAGAAAGTGTTGAAGATACATCCGACTCAATTTATCACTTCTTCAAGCCAGTAATAACTGCCAAAAGGCACTGGCTCACGAAATTCCGTACAACCGGGTGACATATTTACTTCGGAGCGAATTTGTTGGTGGCAGCTTGAGTACACACAGGCTGATTAATTGCTACACCACCCAGACCCCTTTGTGGTGCTTTGATTTACCACCGGTTCGCAGTGGCGAAGCATCGAGCTTAAAGTAAAATCGTCCAAACCGCTAGGTTTCATTTGCGGTTGCAAAATCATCTTTTTTCCGCTTCACAACTCATCACTTATTAATTGGCCACTTGCGTGCTAATTAACATTCTTAAATCTGCTTTAGACTAATAAAAGGAATCATAGGGAAAGGTGTGGGAAAAGAGATTAAGGGCAACGCTAACGCGTGAACAAGAGAGCGTATTATACCTCTCAATTGCAAAATCTGCTCGCATAGAACTTGGAAGCTTCAATTTCGCCGGTCTATCTGTTTAACCGCCTCTAACTATGCCGCATTCGAGAACGAATTGGTTTCACAGTTGACGATCTCTTGAGCGATCGAATGGGATGAATGTGCATACCCAACGTGCCTACCTACGAAATCCCCGACTTCGAATGAAAAGCTGGCTCGTGTGCTTCGTCTTAAACACATCAAGACACACGACTCAGCCACCACCCACACCAATGCTGTTCGTTTAAATAGCCGAATTACTGTTTTAGTGGAGGTAAAGGCAAGCCTTTTATGCCGTTGTGGTGGCAATTGCATCGTTCATTTGTAATAGCGACGTGAGGGACCAAACAGTTGCCTCATCGTGAGGGAGCGCGAGAGGGCCGAAAATGCCACGAACTACCTGACAGGACAAAGGAGGATAGAATAAAATAGGGCAGGGCAGTACAGAGATAGAACCTTTAAAGCGATGCATCAACAAGAAATGTAAATTTGAAAAGCTAGTGAACCCAAGCACCCTGTCCAGGAGCCTCGCTTTGACTAAGTGATTGGGGGCAGCTCGGCTCTCGTTAGTGGGCGACCGCGTGGGAGACAGAGATAATAGCAACGAGATTAGATGAAATGGGACCAACCGTGTCCATCTCCCTCTAATGCAACCAAATGGACGAAATGGCGCTGCAAAACACGCCCTCGTTTCTTTTTCAAGAAAACATAACAAGTAGTTGTTTGCAATTTGACCACCTTTGGTGCTTCCTCGACGCTCTTTTATGCAGCCGATTGAATTAAAGTAATATTTGCCCCAAGTCTGTGTGATAAATAGCAGTTTGGGTGGGTATGCTTTGATAGGGTGGTACACTACTTAGTTCCTATGCCTTCCCATTCCTGCTCTTCAGGCTTTCTGTAACCACTTCAAAAGCAAAGGTTGGAGCTCGAAGTGAAGCAAAATATCACGGTCCAATAGATCTTATCTGTGGGTCCAAGCTCCATTCTTTTGTTACCTCTAATTAAACTCCGACATTTTGTTCTCTTTTGTTGTACTTTGCACAAATAATTGCGTTTAAAATCATATTTACTTTGGCTCCCATTCAAACTCAATCCGATTTACTTTCAGCGGAAGTCAAATGATATAGCAGTGGTCGAAATTTATTTGGTTAATCATGGTGGGGCCTTCACCCACTTATTTTAGGTTAAAATGGCATTGAAATATCACTTCTGTCACATCGGAGATGACGGTAATTCTTCATATTTCAGCACACTGTTTACAAGATGCTGACCTGTAAGTAATGCACACGGCTAGAGGATCTCTTGTCAAATTATCGTATCCAGGACGAAGCTAGTTTTAATGTGCCACGACTCAAAAAAATGGGCGATGAGTGATAAAGAAGACATTTTGTATCTGGTTCAACGTGTCCAAAAGGGCGAATGTAAAGTTTGAAGATCATCCTGTAGTTTTTACCTTCCTATATCTCTTTGCTCTGATCTGTAGAGTTTATTCAACGACATTCACTAAATCTTACAATAAAGAGAACGAGATTGGATAAGGCAGAACACAGAAAGCGTGATCGCTGCCGCTCGGACTATGGGTAAGAGGCAAACTTTTTCAAATTCTGTCACATGCCAGCTTGCACAGGGACTGGACTACTCGCGACCTGCGGAAAAGACATCCGACAATCCTTCAATAGTTTGTGCAAAAATCCCTTTCACTGTTTTTTTTGCAGTCGAAAGAATTTATTCGAGATGGATGGCTGAATCTAGGATGAACAGGTTTCGTGACATGCGTTTAAGAGTTGAGAGTCAGAAAAATACAATCGTCGTGTACTCGAAAAAAGACCTCTCTTAACACCGAACATTTAATAACCGAAGGCAGGGGTGAAATTAAGAGACGACCACATTACCAGGATAGTAGGTAGTAAGGAGGAGGACTTCATAAATCTCTGACTCCCTCTCAGTCACTTTGGACGCCACATAGTTGATTATGTTCTTGTGTGACAAGGAACTCTGAAAAGCAATGCAGCTCGTAGCGAGAGGCGGTGGTGAGAAATACAGGAAAGGGTATAAAACATAGAAAGAAAACCCACCACGATAGTAATTTCTCGTTTCATGTTGGCCAAATCGACCTCGTTGTTAACCAGAGTGCGTTTTAGGGCAAAATGACGTCCATCCGGGGAGTGAACTCGGTAGACTATTCCAAAACCGCCTTGGGAAGGAAAAAGTAAAACACACCTCTCGTTAGCCAAACTGTAAATGCATTAGCGATAAATCCACTTCCAAACTCGCATGTCTTATAGCGGCTTCAAAGAATGGATACGAATGACAAAGTAATCCTCAAAAGTAGAGTTGTTCTTCTTCCACAGCAATGTAAAAGTGTACTATTTAGCACCGAAGCATAAATAAACACCCTAAAAGACTAAGATCAGCTGAATAAAATGCTTTGCGGAGGCATGGGTAAAGTGCATTTTTAGATAAAAAAGATATTAAGTGGAATGAGAGATGGCGAAATTTTCATTGGGAATAAAAAAACATTTACCGTTCATTAAAACTCTCAGGTAAAGATTGGCTTTGAGGGTGAAAGGAAGCTAGTTTGAAGTCACCATGGAGGGAGGGCCCTCATTGTTTAACGTGAAAGCGTGTGTGGTAAGTGGCACTGCTTGGAGGAGCTTAGCATCGTGTCGAGAACATCCACTTTGCGCCTGCATTGCATTGACTTGAAGGGGAAAGTCGTGGTGGAAGCTAGACAAATCACTCTCATCCACGTGCATTAACAGGAGACGACGGACATGAAGCTGCATACCCTGCCAACCTGGTATTTAATACGCCTTTCCTACACATTGTAAAACACCCTTTCTATGCCACTTGTTGTCTCTTGTACTTTACCCCAAAAGTACTTCGTTGAGCGAAGTAAACGGACACATCATTGGTCGTTGCCAAATTATTCACTACGCCATATTGCACCCCCACACCTTACCTAACCCACACTTCTAAAGCACCTACCACTTCATCCACAGAAGGCCATCCTTACCCTTGTGCTTCCACGTGTGGATACCTGGTGAAGTGTAGACAGAAATGCCCACTTGCTACGACCCAAACAACAATTCCTTGTTCCGCTCATGGGTGTGCACCGGAAATTTTTTCCTCCAGAAAGTGATATTCTCACAAAACAATGCACATCCTCATAATTCCGCGAGACTTGATCGTAACAAGAAGTGAGATTTATAATAGGAGGAAAGGAATGTCTCCGCGTCTCACACTATCTACCTTCCAACGTCATTTCCTTCCAACTCCAAGTGGTTCTCTCCTTTCCATGGAATTTGACAATTACACCGTCTTAATCCAAACAGACGGCGGGTAGCCAACAAATAAAATGAGACAGAAATGGATAATAGTCAGGGCCAATTTGTTTGTTTGTTTATTGACACACAATGTATTATAGAGTGGGATTCACAGGCATGTTTTTTTTGCTAAGAAAGCCGTCATTTTTGAAGGGGAAAACAACTGACTGGCTGACAGCACAAGTCACAAAAGGACAGAATATCCATGGAAGTTTGATTCCTTTTTCTTAAAAAAATCCTTACCGTCAGAAAGCCCCCTATCTATTATAGGCAAGAAGGTTTTCAAGCTCCTTTTAAGAGTTTGTCAGAGCGGAAGGGATAAACCAAAACAGCCTGGACTTATTCAAGATTATCCACCCGGGATGAAGTTAAGTGCATTCTCTGATAGGGTCCATAGTTAGGTGGAAAAAGGAAATTTCTTAGGAAGAGAGCGGAGGGCCAACACCATAATCTTTGTGGAGACCGACACCATGATAAGAATAAAACCTGAAATATGCTCACTTCAGCAATAAGTATACTCAAATGCCTATGGAATCCCTGAATTTACGATTGATTAGAGGGGGGGGGGTGAGAGTATCGAAGGAGGGGATTTTAAGCGACAGCAGAATGAAGAGGATGAGCCACCATAGCATAGGAAATAAGATGTAAGTCCAGAGGATGCCAGAACGCACGATCTTTCCGTTTCAATAATTGTTTTACCTCAAAAGCTTATTAAGACGAGAGATTAGCGACAAGGTTCACAAAGGAAGCACTGTGTACACCATCAACGATATGCAGTGTTTTTCCTGTACCAAAAAAATGAAGATTCAAAGGTGATTTTAAGTGACAAGGTGGGAGTACATTGAGACAACTTAAGAGTCAGGACCGGTTTAGCTAAATGACCGAGTCCGCGTATGAGTAAAACAGATCCACGTAAAAGGTATAAGTAGATGGAAGGAGGGATCACCGTTCGGAAACAGAAAAGTTGGGGAATGATAACGCAGTAACGAAAAGAAACGTCTTTGTAAAGTTATTGGCGTCTTTTTACATATGCTTTCCATGGGAGTGGCATAATGCTTTGATCACTTGCTTAAATCTTCGTTTTGATTTTGCGGACACTTAAGTCTCCGCCTTTGTACTTCTGCTGAGCGACATGGTGTTCCCCCACCCCAACCTGATCCTTCTGCACGTCGGCATTACATATTCCATCTTTCGACTTTAGAAAAGACTCGGTGCGCCACATTGGTGGCAGCGGAAGGTGAACCCAATATTAAAGGTCATCTAACCGGATTTCTGCCGCTAGGTGACGGGAGAAAGGTTTGCGATGTGATAATCCCTAGCAAAAGGTCTGAAAATAATGTCGACCTTCGACAACTACCCAAGTCCTGTGCCCTTCAGGAATGCCATCAACAAGTGAAGCAAAATTAGCGGAGAACCATCTGGTAATGTTTGTTACGGAGAAATTTACAATACTTGTATAAGGGTGTTAATGAAGTGAACACGTGATACCACCCTCATCTCTCTACTAGCAAGATAGAACCCACGTACACAGGTATGGCTGAAACGAGAACAAAGTGGCGAGGAGCAATAAAGGCGATGACTTACTCTTAAAAACTAGTTCAAACATCGTCTATTAACCAAGCCTGCTTTTGTGTCAATGTTCTAACGGCTAGCGATGGACAAGCGAGATGGCCAGCGCATCCCCCAACCCCTAAATTCAGTTCCCTACGGGATGAAAATCCAGATCCAGTAAAATTA